TTGAGTTTGTCCTGCGAGCAATGAGCACAGCAAGCTTATCCACTTATCATTTGGTGATCAGCTTATGGACATTCCCTTTATTCGAAAGTGTAGAATGTGAGGGTATTTTCAGTGATGAAAAAGGAAGCTTTTCTGTCGAAGTCGTTCGGAGTAGTGGAAGGCGAAGATGCAGCTGTTTCAAAGAAGTATTCGCCAAGAGATCTTCCGATAAGATTGCTGCCAGACGTGCAACTTGACTATGAAACGGTTCGATCATGGCTCTTATTGGAAAATCTCTCATAGTTTATTAACCTATAGTCAATTTTAATACATTATGGATACTTCGAAATGCAATACTTCGTTGGATAATTTAAAATTCGGTTTTTGACATGACAGTCGTTGAAAATGGGTAAGGAGGATAGAAATTTTAAAGTGTTTTTGCTGGAAAAGAATTTTTCCGTGATCCATGCGCGTCATTCACACGTTTCCTAAAAAAATGAAGTATTCTTTAGCTATAGCATCCACTCTAGAATTTTTAAAGTTGCTGTATTGCCTCAAGANCGTAATAGATGAGAATTCATTTTTGTTTCTAATTTCAGGATCCTTTCGAGGAGAAGAATTCACAGCATCGTACCAAGGGTGATAGGCGGTCAAGGTGAGATTTTTAGCATTTCGCAGAGCAAAACGTAAGAGCATTTTGTCGATGAATAAAATTTCTAACATAGAAAGGACTATGGTCAGTGCGTAAGTTTCGTCCGTAATTTTGATCCGGAATTTTCATATAAGTAGATCTGAATGGCACAAACCCTCCAAACCCTGTCTACGTTCAGGTCAAAACTACCTGCAACATTGAATGCAGCCTTACTGTATCCATTCATGGACTCTGAACGAATAAGCGATGAGGAACTGGCACATGGCAACAATGACCCATTCGAAATGCAAATTCGTCAGTAATCACAGTCACTCAGCAAAAGCCGTTCATCGATCTCCTCTTCAAAGTTTTTCACTGTTCTCAGTTGTATCTGTTCCACCCGCTTCTGACAGTGTTTTCAGATTATGACTTTACGAGTACCAAAATCTTGTCATTGCTTAACTTTGATAAACACTCATGTCTGTAAGGTACATCAGTTGTGCTACATCGTAATAGTTGTAAAATTGCTGTTGGTT